TCACCCTTGGATCAATGGCACTCACGCTTGTCTTGATCACAGAGCCAGCAATATTTACGGTAGCTATAGGCTGACGCGATTGGTAGCGAGACGAAAAATGCACAATTTCCCTTTTTGATGAGTTACACTATCACATTAACTTGTTCTCAGTCATCCAGGATAAGACGTCTTGCGCGCACAATTCTAACTTGCTCAGGCAGGATGATTGTTCCGATCTCCGCATAACCAGGTTCATTTGCGTGTCTTCAGCGAATATCATAGACAGCAGTCCAAGTGTGATGATAAGATCTTCAATGGACGCAACGTAGAGGAAAACAACAACCGGCCCAGCACCGAACCCTGAGGAACCCCATAAAGTGAGTTAGCTAGACTAGAGTGAACATCTCTGATGACAGTTGACTGCAAGCGATTAGCCAGATACGATTCATTCCATGCTAGGGCAGAAATCCTCAACCCAAAACGGGTGTGTTTTGATCAGGACACGTACCTTTGTCGATCGTGTCGAAGGCAGACGATGAGTCAAGCAATACCAGGAAAACATTATCGTGATTATCAAGGGCCAAATTTATGTCATTAGAAAAACGCAAAAAGGCAGTTTGGGTGCTGTGATAAGCACAGTATGCTGACTGAGTTTCAGTGTATAGATCAAGGTTAACGTTTTCTTTACTATCCGTGAAGTGTTTCTAAGAAAATTACGGCTGCAGTTTTCTTTTGAGACTGCCTTTAGAACTGGTCGTACGTAAAAATATCTCCTATAATGACCTTTCCCTGTCCAAAACAGAACCAACGTTAGCAACGGTTTTGCAGTTGCTATCCTTTTCTTTGGTTTTGGAATCCGAAAATCGAACATAGGCTTGGTCGCTATGCACAGATCCTTTTGAGAAACTCTTATACATAGAATTAGTTGATTCTGAGGAGATGTTATCGTTAGAATCTCTCACGGGTATCGCTTGATCAATAGGGCAGATATCGGTTTGATCGTCCTCCTCGAAGGCAGGGTTACAAAGCTCCGCTGGAGAGACGGAAGCCTCGGAAGACGAATTCCAGACACTCGTACCGGAAGTAAATTCATTTGAAGTGCGAAAGGCGTCAACGTTCATTGATAGCAGATCATTTTCCACACTTTTCTTTGGTGTAAATTTAAGCTTAATCGGCTTGCTGCGTCCGCTTTGTATCGCCTTACGGTAGCTGTCCCGCATGTCAAACATTCCAAGCGGTAATTTGGGAGGAAAGATGATGACTGTTCGAGAGTTTTCAAAGCTTGATTCTCGCTGTAAGTAAGCGCTTCGTACCGTACGTCCGTACGCGCTCTTGCTGTAATCTGACAGCCGCACCTTTTTACAGCACAATCCGAGTAAAATTTTTCTAAACGCTCGCCGAAAATCTTTGTTGCGGAAACCATAAATGACGGGATTACAAACCGAAAATTCGTACTGAAGCCACTTTTTTACCGAAAGAATACACGCTGGCAAAGTCATAAGGCCTGGACAATCAGCTCCCTTGAACAGTGTGGCCATACAAACCGCGAACACGAAGTTGATGCTAAAAAATGGAGTCCAGCAGATGACAAAAAAGCCCATGACTACGGTTACTGGCAAATCCTGGAAGAAAAGTTGCGGTATTTTGAAACGATTTTCCCTTTAGTGGAAAAACAAGATGACGTATATTTTAGGGGTGGTGGCGCTGCTGGAGGCCTGTGATGTCACCAACAATTGTCGCCATCTTGGCCGCCATCTTGGATTTTACCAGAAATTAGAAGTCAGGTTAAAACCGCGAGAAATGTTATTTTTCTGTGCTTTGCATGAAAAATTACACATAGTAGCACTTTGCATGATTTTAGCCACAATATTTACTTTTATTGTTGAAAGAAGTTGAAAAAACATGTATTTTCATCCAAAATTCCGAGGGTTAAAGCTGCAAATCTTATTTTTTGTGTTAATTGGCGAAAAACAAAAATAAGGATAGTAAAGTTAAATGACTTTTTTGTAATATGTATATTGGGCGCGCGTAGGCTTTGGTAGATTGTGCTAGCATAATTTTAAGCATAATTCAGCAAAACGAGCATTATTTTAAGCTTTTATTTCAGTTTAGCACTGCTAGCATAATCCGAGCTTTTATGCGTTAAAAACAAAAAAAAACCCATCATAGCTCTAGAATAATTCAGTTTGTATTTTATTTCTATATTGTTTTTGGAAAATATTGAGGTCTGCTCTAAGGCCCATGGTGAAATATGGTAAGCGGCAGGCGGCAGAGGTGACCCTGTGCATATCTGAGAGACTGAGGCTCTCCTCAGGCCACCACGCTTATGGCTCGGCGGCTCGGCCCCTCAGAGCTCAGATCAAAGATGGCGTCGTCCTCGAGTACATCCACTTCCACCACTTCCACCACTTCTAGTGCCAGGGCCCTCGTCCGCAGCAGCTGAACGAGTATTCTCTATTCTTAACTCATCGTTCAACGATTCACAAGACCATGCTCTCGTGGACTATTTATAGGCTTGTGTAATGCTTCAGTACAATAACCGATAACACAGAGATTAACAACATGCATAGTTGTCTTTATACTGATCGGGGGCTTTGCCTGGATAGCGTCTAAAACAAGTATGCGGGCTATAACTTTCTGACCCGGATTCAGAACCCAGAAACGGTTGATTTTGGTATCATTTGTTAATCATTTGGCTTTTCGAGGTGCGCACATGCGTATTTGTGATGCTAAAGACTGTAAGACTGGAAGGTGGACTATATGAATGTTCATTAAAGTCAAAATTGATAGAGTTAAGCTACTGATGATCTTCATTTTCCTTAAAATCAGTGTAAAATCTAAGTAGCATAATTTCGGTGACAGAGAGCATAATTTTCAGAAAGTAGCATAATTTTGGCATAATTTCTAAAAAATATGAGCACTGCTAAAAGCATAATATGCTTTTTTTTCGAGCACAATCTACCAAAGCCCAGGCGCGCGCGGGGGAGAAGCGTCACGTCTCTGTTACAGGACCGGGATCAAACCGCTAACTGGTAAGGCCGTGGATAAAAACAAAACTAAATTTTGGTTTTTTATAGCATTTATTCTCATTCTCGGTAAATTAACTAGCCATAACTCTGGCTATACACGGCAAGGTAAGCAGCAATATAATCAGCTCAGACATCCGCAAAGAAATCAGCAGTTTAATCAAAAACAGTAAAAACTAGCTTACTTATACCTGGATCTTTGAAAACCGGGTTGGCAAAAATATCAACTCATTCTACTACTTGGCAATTTAAAACAACAAAACTCATTCAAAGACCGATTAAAAGCCTTTAGATGACGCCGGGCAGCACGTTAATGGTCCCTAGAAGAAATGTTTGCTAACCCGGTTTTCATAACTCCAGGTAGACTTATATATGATTTTTACAACCCCTGACGACAATAGAGAACAAGAGAAATCCAAACAGAAATCGCTTAATAGGATTAAGTGAAAACTAAAAACAAAATCTATTTTTAACTTGAAGTCTTTTGGTACTGTTGCTATTTTAAAAAGTAAAAGTACTGAAACAAAGGACAAGCCAGGTCAGCAAAAAAAGCGATTATGTACATGGACAAAGCATTACAATTTGAATAAAACTGCAAGTTCAGCTAGCGGCTGTTTAAACAGGATGAAGCGCAGACTTATTGCTAGTTTTCACCCTAAAAAAAGGACAAATCTACATCTCACTGAATTCATGTAATAATGACTTCAGTGAGTGTCTACATACCCTGGGTACCCATGAGAGGTTTTTCTCGCGTGCGGCGAAAATTTTCGGTGTTGGCCGAAGGCCGACACATCTTCGGCCGTAGGCTGTAGACTTGACAGAAACCGGAAACCGCGCTGGAAAAGTCTCTGGCACCCGAGGTAGTGTCTACAGATCCTCAGCTAAGAATGTCTTTGGTACCAAGAATTTCACCCTCCCCACCCAGGACACTGGGTAACTGTCTGCGCCTCCCCCTCAGCTCTACAATTATCATGATAATTATTGTCAGCAGAGGCTTGGGCAAAGTAAGAACAAGGTGCTTGCCAATCAAAGCCTCTAGTCTACACAGAATTGAGAGCTAAAATCGTGGAAAAGGCAAATAACTTTCACTCTACTATCAAATCCACGGCTGAGATGTCAGAAACAGAGATCACGTTCTCAGAAACAAAAGTGTACAAAGGGGTTAGATTTAACAAGGAACCAGTCCTAGACGGGCAAACAGATTATAAACCAACCAGGTGCCTATGAGCCAAACAGAAGCCTTTCACATACTCGTGTCAACCTCCAGGCGTGAAGAAATGCTTCATTAAAGGAGAAGCGCTCAGGCGTCTAAGGACTGATTCCTCTCAAACCACTTTGGAGGAAAATATAAAAAAATTCGAAAATAGCCTGATAGAAAGAGGCTGCCCTGTCCCTATTGTGAGAAAGTACCTCTCTGAGTTAAAATTCGCCGACAGGAAAACAACCCTCTAACAGAGCAACAAATCTGCCAGTCAAAAAAAACTACTACCTTTTGTTACACAATACAGACAATACCACCCAGCTTTACTCACGCTGAAGAAAACACAATGGGAAAATGGCACCTTGTAAAAAACCAACAACGACTAAGAGAAATCTTTAGGGAGCCTCCCCTCATATCATATCGAAAGGGAAAATCCCTTAGAGACCTATTAGTTAGAGGAAAGCAGATAACTTCCTTTACGACTCATTGTAGAGTCGTTTTGCGACTGTCGTTGCCAAGTTTTAAACCTGGTAACCTTAGATACGTCAAAGTTTGATTCCATGCTTCCTCGGTTAGGTCCGACCAAAGAAGTCCCAGGAGACCCAAGGGGACTGCAGTGTACTTCATTTTCCCTGTACCCCCATCCCTTGTCATGACACAAGTCGAAGGAAAGAAATAAAATTACCTCCTCATCGATATCTCCCTAGTTCGAACATTTCATTTCCTCCCTCTTCCCTTCCTTTTTGTCGCCCCGAGTTCTCCCTCCCTCCTACTATGTACCTCCCCCCTCCATTTTGCTGTCTAGGTGCTTCGTTTCTTGGGGAAGGCATGGCGGCTGATGGTTCCTCTGTAAAATAGGACATGCAATGACTTACTACTTGACAAGGAAACGCAAATAGCACAGTCAAAGCATCCAGAAATGCTTTGCGAAAACGCCTGTATAAACCGATGTAAAAGAGAGGGTTTATTGCACTATTTGCGTACGACAGCCAAAAATTGAAAGTCCAAACCGCGATAGGAATTTTTTCCCAAACAGCTGGCTGAAAAAACATGAAGTAGTGATTTATGTATGTAGGTAGCCAGCATAAGGCGAATCCGACCACGATGATAGCTAACATTCTGATGACTTTTCGCCTCGAGGCTGTCGAGGCTCTGTTACTGGAAGCATTCCCTGGAGACTTGTGAAACCAGACTCTACGAGCAACGAGGCAGTTTAACACAGCTGTTATTAACAGTGGAAGTGCATAAAAGGCAATAAAGCCGAAAATGTGAAAAGCTCTCATGACATGATATGTTTCTATGCTGTTCTTGGACCATGGCCATACGAGGAGGCAAACATAATGGTCGCGGAATTTCTCGACTTGGAGCAACAATAAGTAAGGCGAAACAGCGAGTAATGAGACGAACCATATTATCATTGTGATCGTCTTATGTTTATGGAAGAGAGTTAGTTTTAGAGGGTAATAGATAGCAAAGAAGCGATCGATGGAGATAATAGTCAATGTTATCACAGAAGCGGCGATGGAGACAAGTATGGCATAGAAAAACAGTTTACACGTGATAGTTCCCATTGTTCCACCGAACCAGCGGTTAGGATCGAAGTACATGAACCACACAGAGTAGGGCATCACTGTCAGGGTTAGAATTAAGTCAGCAACTGCCAAGTTCTTGATCAGCAGATAAGTGATTCGTCTCGAAGGTGTTTTGGCACTCATCACAACCTGTAGTCCCACAGAATTGCCGAATAGCGATATTACAAAGATCGTGATGTACGCAAAGGTGAATCCAACTTTGGTTTTCGTTGAGTACAAAGGAGGTGATATGACGTTATTCATAAGGGCACTTGTTTGATTAATGGAATTCATTCTACAAAAAAATATGACGCCAGAAAACGTTATTATTGGTACAATTTAATTTAAGCTAAAGAAATATAGTATTAGCACCTATGAATTTTAAAATCCATGTGTATATCCCCAAATCCTGGCCAAAACCAAAATTTATTCTCCATGGATCATGATACATTATAATCGCTATCCCAATTTCCGCCTCACCACGTGGTTTATTTAAGACTGCTCGGCATACTTGTTAGGCACGTGCAGGAGAATTTTTTTCGCCCTTCAACGTTTGTGAATTTGGTAAAATTTTCTCCTCAGTGATACAAGAAGATCGAATGAGTTGGTAGAGTAAACTTTGGGGGCTCCGCTGAAAACTCTGCTCGAAGAAAGCTCTCAGTCCTGTACGAGCCAGAATGGTACATGGCGAACAGTCGAGTTTGGAGGTGAACTCCTTTCTATGAGATCAGGAAAGCAGCCCGATAGATGCTGGCCTCTGATTGGCACAAAAACAGACAAGCATTTGAACATGTCGTGGAACTGGTTCGTTAATAGTATTATCCCCGGGTCTCTCTCGCCCGTTCTTGAAAACTTTTGCCGCCTTTTTTCCTGACCCAACTGACCATCCCTGGGTCGCCGAATTGAGCTATTCCTGAATGAAAGAAATTTCACAGTTAACCGGTTTCCTCGAGTAGAGTGTCGCTAAATCTAACTGCAACGCCACGTACTATGGACACAAATAACTTTTACGGAATTGCAAAGTGATCATAGAATTAAATCATGTTGTTTGTGACTCATTTCGCAAATTCCTTGTGGAAATGGTTATGTGGACCGCAGTTTGGTGCATTCTTTGTAATTTCCTTTAAGAATAAGTTCTGACGGGTCAACGGTTTTCTGTTTTGTTTGATTTCAGGAAGTTAAATTTTGTCAAATTTTCGACTTTTCATTTGTTTGTAAATTAGGAGGATAGGTATAATAAAAAAATTCCATGTTTATTAGTATTCTTGATATGAAATGTTAATCCTAATAGATGTTCCATTATATATTTCAATCATCCAATGCCGAATTCAAAGCCCAAACCAGGGGCACCAAACGACTGTTTTCTGTAAAATATCTTTTCGGAGAAGCAAATATTGCCTAAAATTTTCTATTACTTGAGGACGGCTAAAAATTTCTCGATAACCGTTCCATTCATGTACAATTTTCGAAACTTTTCTTATAAATACCCTACGATTTTCCGAAGCTCAACTTGTCACATTTCACTCCCCAAGGAAAATGCTGTTTTTCGTAGAAAAACGAAACCTAAAACTTTCGGATTCAAAAAATGTGATTGAGAGAGGAATCAGAAAAATTTTCACATTGGTAAAAGGATAAATTGCATCCAAAATTTTCGGGAAAATAATTCTGAAGCCCTTGTAATTTCGACAAGACGCAAAGTCCCCTAGGATGACCGAACAGAATCCAATTTTATATCGCCGCTTAGAATGTATTTCTTGAGATCTAAAACTACTCTGGACAGTCTGAAAAGTGTCTTCAACGTATTTAGAAGGAAATCGTCGTTGGGTGCCTCTGCCTAATGACCCCTGACTTTTCAGTTTGCAAATGATGCAGATGGTGATAGTCAATTGCACAATATATCTACTGAATATTGATGAGTTTTTCAAGAGTTAATAGTTTCCAGTGCGGATAAACTTTTTCAAGACAAAAAATTGTCATCATACAGTTTTTAGTTTGGATAGTTCAAAAGACAATTCCATTTTGTCTGCTTATGCGGATCGCATAAGGTCCGGGACCTTAGATAAATCCGTCATTTTTCAAACTTTGTTTGCAACTGGACAATCTTCAAGGCGCCGAGGACAAAATTTGCTTTGGGTAAAAACTGAACACAGCTGTTGCTGAACAGAACTGACTAAATAAGCGAAATGTGTGTTTTCTCGTCAGTCATTTGTTGTAAAGCCATTATCCTTTCCAGCGTTGGCAGATATGGCGGGCTGTTAAAAGTAAATTGTTTCCAGTGCAGATAATTTTTTCAAAACAAAAGTTATAACCATACAATGTAAGGTTGAAATGTTTTAAAGAGAATTCCAGATTTGTCTGCCAATGCGGATAGCGGCGCCCGTTAACTTTGGGAAATTCGTTTGAAGCGCAAATAAAATACTCAAGACAGTTCTCGTTATACATATGTTTTATCAAATTGCTTAAATATCTTATAGCTTGTCTTTCAGGAAAAACTAAACTGAAGCAGATAGCTAAATTTTTAACGCTACTTTAAGCCAAAATTAAGAACTAGCTACGAACTTCGGTCAGTTGAAACGGAATCCCCGTCTTAAATGTAGCTGTTCTTTCAGATCATTCTTAAGATAATTTTTCTAGTAGTAGGAGTCTTTTATAAATCATCTTATCGGGAATATCACCCCTCCGTCTTCCCTTTTGTGTTTTATAAGCAAAGTTTTGATAAATTTTACCTGTCATTTTGTATTACCTTTTGGTTCAGTTCTGAAGTCTTCGTCAGTGAAAATTGATTTTGTTGACTTTCTCCAAGGCGAAGTGCACTAATCTAGAACAAACTACATGACGTTTAGTAACTTGCTGATAACTACACCTGTAGCTCTAAATATGAGAAAAATATTTAATACAGTGGAAGCTCTGGTGAGCGGACACCCTCTAGACGCGAAAAAGGTGTACGTAACTGGAGCTGGCCGCTTGTGCGGGAATGTTAAAATAAAGACTGACAATGTATGGAAGTTGAAAGTAACATGGTTTTGTGAAGGCTGCTGTAAGTAGCCTCCGTAGCTGGCGGGATCATTCGCTCAAGCAGCAAAGTTTTGGCAGAGGAGCTACGAAGTTGGCAGAGAATAGGGCTTCGACGCCTGAAATATTCTCACACAGGCGCAAAACAGTTCCGCCAGCTACGGAGGCTAGCTGTAAGTAGAGTTGTTCGCTTACCAGAGTGTCCTACGGGGGATCTTTCGCTGTATGAGCAATGTTTTATATATATTTTTGTTTTTTCTAATCAAGTAAATCTTTCACTTCAGCTAAAATAGAGCCTCAAAATACCTTCAACTCTATCTCTGTGTACCTCATTGTTCTACACAACAAAATATAATGCAAGTGAGATATAAACCTTTCAAATGATACCTACAGAATGAAACGGAGACCTGCCTTTCCAGATCGTTTCGTCTTTTCTTGGCGCTGGCAAAATGAAACGAAATATGAAAAACAGGAACTAGTACCGTTGTATTGGTTAATAATTAGCTATTACAGCTGTACAACCTCATAAAAAATTAGTTGTTGTCGAGATATTTTGGGTTGAATTTAAGTGGTCAGTACTAATACTAACAGTTAGACCTACATGATGGTGATAATCGACCTACATTGTGTCAAATCTTATGTTTCGTTCTGTTTGAAAACGTGTGTGAAATTTATTGACAAAAACTTCAGCCAATTGTGAGAAAGGAACGTTAAATTAACATGAATGCACTGTGGAATAGCCTCGGCTTCGCAGCATGTGTTTGGTGGGAAGGATGCATTTGAAGGGTGGATTAAGGCGGGGACCTTAATTTTCCATTTTCTTCCCTTCAAGCATCTGTCACTCAGCTCGGATTTTTTGTTATGAAACAAGGTCTACTTATTAAAAAAAAAAAAATGTGATGATGATAAGTTGGAAATTATCGTCTTTTTCATGGCCTTCATGCAAAGCAAAAGTCTTCCATTGTTAGCTTTTTAAATTGCGTTTACTGCTTGGTCTTTTACATGTATCATTCAATGCTTACTGTCTCAAACTTATATTTTCATGTCAACATTATTAGGTAATTAACGATGCATTTGAAACCGGAAGCCAAGAGAACTATAGAACAAACGGAAAAGTTAGCCATTATTGAGGGAAAATATTAAGGTGTAAAATTATCTCGGAATTCCTTGCACGTGTTTTAAAATTAATGTCATTCATCAAGCTTGTTTTGTGTAATGAATCACCCCAGGAGAATAAATCTTCGGTATGAAAAATGCAAATTTTGAGAAACTTGGCCGTCAAAGTCGGTTGACAAGGTAATATAGTGTTGACCTCCACTCACGACAACTGTGTTCCCAAACACTTTCTTGGAAAAGTCGCAAAGTTTGGCGGTCGAAGCCTATACGATTTTTTTTAAGCCTCAAGAGTCCCACGGCCTGAATACGGTTAAGTTCATCTTGTTGTGGTGCTAATCAAGGGCCTGGGCTCCTCCGTTTTAGTAACTACAGCCATATGATGTCCGTGAGTTGTTTCTTTTCACCGAATACCGTAAGTTTAAAATCAGAAACCCTGCACGCCGGAAGATGGGATTTTAATCACCGCATCGCCACACAAAAACAAATAAGCGACACCGCGGCAACAACGCAAATCCCCATGTCTCCCTCCAAACTGTCATCGCAATAGATTTCTGATTGCTCAGTTTCTCTCAATAGAGCTTTGGAAAGAAAAAACTTTCAGATGAAAAAAAAAACAATTTTTAAATAAAAATAAAAATGAGGTTAACTGAAAAAGAACGAAAATATCAAATAAACTTTTGAATACTCGGTAGGCATATTGTCTACAGTACGCATACAATGCACGGATTCTTCTTGTGCAAGAAACTTTATACCTAGTAAAATAAACATTGCACGACGGCTTTATTGTACTCCCAGCGTTACCAAAATCCAAGACTGTTCTCTAGGAAAAACAGGGGACAGTGAACAGTCTAACAGAATACATTTCGTTTTCTTCTTCGTGTTTGAATTTGGTACGTACGTAATCCCAGCGAATATACATGTTGAAACAAAGCTGTTTAAGACACCTACAGTACGTGTTTTAAACATTACTTAAACCTTGCTCGCAATCCACTTAATCAGGAATATAAGAGGGTTCTCCGATTTAGTGGAAATCCAACCCACGAGAAATTTGTCATTTTCAGTTTTCAAATGTCAATTTCCTCTCCCTTGGGTCTCCATTTTGAGTCAAATTCCCATCTCTGGGGCAAACTAATAGGCACTCAGAACAGTCTTTATTGCAGCACTGA